GCGCACTACGCTCTGCACAAGTATGGTCTGTGCTGCCCTCTGTCTCTTTGGTGGTCTTGTGGTTCCCTGCATGAGTTGCCCTACGGGGCTCATGGGATTGTGTTGGTTTTGTGCTCCTGTTGGTGAGTCTCGTTGTCTTCCTGGTTTTGTTGCGCTCCTCGCTGTGCTTCTGTGTGCCCTGTTGCTCCTTTTGTTGTTTGCCTCTTTTGTTTTTGTTCCTTTCTCTGTCCCCTTTGCTTTCCCTCCCCCGCGGGTTGTCATGTTTGGTGCCCTGGTCCAGCTTGTACCCTGGTTTGCTGGTACCTCCCTCTGGTATCTGGTTGCAGCTGTGACGGCTTAGTTGCCCCGCCTTCATGCTGGGAGTGTGGTTGAGCTTTGCCATCCTTCCGTCATTTGTCTCATGGCAACAAAGGCTACTTGCCCTGTGTGGGGTTTTCACCCTCTACACCATGTTACTGGTGACGTCAGGGAGCTTAGTTTGGCCAGACTGAGGTATTCATCCTGATGATGAACCAGTTCCCATATTGGACTCCGCTAAGCTGCACTATTGCTATTCTAATGTGATTGGTGTCCGCCCTTGTCCTCCTCTGCCTCCCCGGCACCCCCTCCTGTCTGGTTGCCGCTTGGTCTGGTTGTCCGGTTGTGCTCTTGCTGGGTCTCCTCTTTGCCTGTTTCGTCTCTGGTGGACCTTGCGTTCCTTCCTCTGCTCTCACTCAGGAACCAATGACTGGAGCTTAGACTGAATGTACGAACATCGGTGATTTGGTTGGTTCTTGTCTGTTTACTTTAGGTACTGACTGGAGAGGCACTGACACAGCATTCTTGTGACCCACTAAGGTGACTCAGGACAGCCGTATCGCTTGGTGCCCGTAAAGGCCGTCTCTTTGCTCTGCCTTTCTTGCTGACTTGACCTTGTTCTCTTTAAGGGGCTGCCTTCTTCACTCGACTTAATTCGTTTGTTTCCTCTGGGTCTCCTTGGTATGTCCTCTGTCTGGGTAGCTGAATCCAACCGAGAGGGGCAGTAGTTAGTCGGCCGATGCCATAGACCAGACTGTGCTGCAGTGAGCTTCACCGGTGCACTCTGGTGTTCCTCCCTGTAGGACAGCCTGGGGCGCCCGCGAGCAGCACAAGACTGCCAGCATGGTTCGTCAATTGGTCGAAAGATGTGGTAATTCTGCAGCCTGTCTACTCTGTGGGTGAGTGGCATTACGGCCGTAGTTTCGCTACGATCTTCGTCGGTGCGTACTGCAATGCACTGCAGGTCTTTCAGGGACGATGACATCCTGAAATGTCCTGAACAGTTCTGTAGTTTGTATTCCTTGCGAACCTGCAACCTAGAACGCTACACTGCCTACGACAGCACATGTATGGTGGCACTAGCGAATACAATGTTACAAATACAAAGGTTTTCTGCATGTTGCTCAGCTTTGCGAATACTGCCTAAGAAATTCGCTGGCTGAGACCAATCCACTGGATGGCTGCATCTTCCCCTATGAAACTAGGGGCGTCCCTTTTTTGTTTGGCGATGGTATGTTTGGAAGCTTTTCCCTGGCCTACGATGCTTCCCCTTTGCCATCACTGTCCACCCCCCCTCTAGGGGGGGGATCTGATTGTCTCAACATCACGGCTTCGTGGTCGCGGCTGACAGATATGATGACGACTACTATGTCCATGAAGGCCCATTGACGAGCTGATTTGAGAGGACTCTGAGAGAGGCTTTAGTCGTAGCCCTGCTTCGTGTACAGCTTGGCTCATGCTAGGGTAAACTCACAAGCTAAGGCCTTCATGTCTGCCTGGACAGCCGTGATCCCTAATTCATTTGGCATGTTTTTGATAGTGATGCAGTGGACAAGCCACTGCGTCCAATGGCAAATCGATTCGGTGGGTGTTTTTGTTTGGGCTCTGGCCCCGTTTTGTGGTTTTTGTTTTGTTTCTGCCGTTTGCTTCGCTGTTTCCGCTGGCGAAACGCAAGTCTGGCTGGGGGATTTGCGGGTCGTCGTTTTTGGTTGGTTGTGGTTTTCGTTTTTGTTGCTTCAATCGATTTGCCGACTCAAAGGACTTTATTGTCCTTGTACAATGTATTTCCAGCTTATTCTCATGTAAGGACCGAGCCTTTAGCGCGACATCGGCCACACTCGAGGAAAAAAAAGGCTTGCGAAGCTTCCTATGCGCCACTACCGTCCGCCCCCCCTCCTGGGGGGGTACCTGGTACAGTGACCACCACGACATTCTTGCTCACGGAGAATAGATGATGGTGATTCCGTCCATGGAGGCCTTCTGGACAAGCTGATCTGAGAGGACGCTGAGAGAGGCACAGTTGTAGCCCCGTGGACATGTACAGCTTCGGCACTTCTGTGCCAAAGTAGACAGGCAGAATGTTTAGGCCTTCATGTCTTCTTGAATGTCGTGGTTCTTAATTCATTTTCGCATGTTTTTGAAAGTGATGCAGTGGTCAAACCACTGTGTCCTTTGGCAAATCTTTTTGGTGGGTGTTTTTGTTTGGGCTCCGGCCCCTTTTGTGTGTCTGGTTTGTTGTTTCTCTTGACGAAACGCAAGTCTGGCTGGGGGATTTGCGGGTCGTCTGGCTGGTCTTTGTGTTGTTTGGTTTGTTGTGATTTGCCTGCATTTCCGGACCCCTTTGGTCCCTGTACATATTGGCGTTTTACTGCTTGTACTCATGTAAGGACCGAGCCACAGTGCGACATCGGCCATACTCGAGGAAAAAAAATCACAGATTTCTGTATGGCATTGTTGTGGTCTTGTTGTTTGGTTGTTTGCTTTACCGTTGTCATACCAATCCCTTGGTGGTGCAGGTTATCATCTGTCTGGTACATTGCTGATGCCTATGAACTGATCAGCTGATCACCAGCCGTGCTGTTTTTTGGTTTGTTTGGTTCTTTAGTGTGTTTTGCTTTGTTGTTCTAATTCGGTGAATTTGCGAAATGCAATTGTCTCTCCGGCTTGATAAACGACCTAGCGAGAGCTATCTGGCGTTGGACGGAAAAAATGACCTCATAGCCAACAGAACGGAAAGGGAAAGATTCTCATGACCAAGACAAGCAGGTACAACAGGCCAGTTTTGGGTTCGTTTTTGGTGCCTGAAGATATAATTTTTGGAGACGGAGTACGGGGCCCTTGTTTTTTTTGATCCCCCACCTTGTTTATTGACCTCCTCCGTGTTTTTTTTGACCCCTCATGAATGAAATCCTGAATGAAACTCTATTTTTGACCTTGGGGCCTCCCTTGTACCACATCTGGACGTCAAACGAAGATGGATGTGCAGTTGAGTGCCATGAGTGACAGCCTGCACGTGAAACGAAGGTGGATGTGAGATTGTGCCACGCCTGCCACGCAAAACGAAGGTGGATGTGAGATTGTGCCGTGCGTGTTGAATTATTGTATGTTAAGTTTGTGTGTGTGTGAAGTTATTGTACGTTAAGTTTGTGTGTTAAGTTTGTGTGTGTGAAGTTGTTGTATGAGTGTGTGTGAAGTTATTGTATGTTAAGTTTGTGTGAAGTTATTGTATGTTAAGTTTGTGTGTGTGAAGTTATTGTGTGTGAGTGTGTGTGAAGTTATTGTATGTTAAGTTTGTGTGAAGTTATTGTATGTAAAGTTTGTGTGTTAAGTTGGTGTGTGTGAAGTTATTGTATGTGAGTTTGTGTGTGTGTGAAGTTATTGTATGTTAAGTTTGTGTGTGTGAAGTTTGTGTGTGTGTGAAGTTACTGTATGTGAGTGTGTGTGAAGTTATTGTATGTTAAGTTTGTGTGTGTGTGAAATTATTGTGTGTGAGTGTGTGTGAAGTTATTGTATGTTAAGTTTGTGTGTGTGAAGTTATTGTATGTGAGTGTGTGTGAAGTTATTGTATGTTAAGTTGGTGTGTGTGAAGTTATTGTATGTGAGTGTGTGTGAAGTTATTGTATGTTAAGTTTGTGTGAAGTTACTGTATGTTAAGTTTGAGTGTGTGTGCGGGAGGAGTGCGGGAGTGCGGGAGGAGGCACCCGGGATACAGAATCAAAAACAAGAACCCCACACAAAGATGTGGGGGAAAAATTGTTCGTCCAGTTCTAGGTGCCCGGGCATGTCTTACAAGATCTCACAAGTGCGCGGGTTCTGGCTCATTCGCAGAGTTGTAGCTGTTCTGAAAAGGTATGGAACATTTCAGAATTTTCACCAACGCTTTCATAAATGATCATCAGTGTCATCAAGAAAAGAGAAAGTCCAAAAAAGAGAAAGTCCAGTTTCGAGAAAACATTAACCAGCCAGGATCAGCCATGATTATTGGGGTTTCTGAGTTTGAAGCCTTCATATTTGCCAATATCCAGTCAACCCTAAGCTTGAACCAACCCAAAACTTTCCTTCTTTGACTGCTCTCCTCCCCTCGAAACAATCTCATATAGCACAAATGCCTGCCTTGCTTCAAACCAGGGGTTTTAAGCGAGGCGGTGCTGAATTCAGCAAGGCGCATAGCTCTGCCTTGCTCAAAACTTGATTGCCTTGTTTAGAACCACTGGTTTAGACGAGGCGCTGCGAAGCCTATTTTAGATGATTTTTCAAGGTTTGAGACGAAGAGCAGTCAAAGGACAGGAGAGAAGAGGATAGCAAAAAATAGTTTCAAACTGCAATCTATAACTCTTTCCGGCTTCAACTCACCAAAAAATACTAAAAATGGAGGTTTCGCGAAGCGCCTCGCCTAAAACCAGTGTTTTAAGGATGGTTGCCTTGCTTAAAACCACTGGTTTTAGGCGAGGCGCTTCGCGAAACCTCCATTTTTAGTTTTTTTTGTTGAATTGAAGCCGGAAAGATTTATAGATTGCAGTTTGAAACTCGTTGACTGCTCTTCGTCTCAAACCTTGAAAAATTATCCAAAATAGGTTTGGCAGGCGCCTAAAACCAGTGGTTTTAAGCAAGGCAATGAAGTTTTGAGCAAGGCAGAGCTATGCGCCTTGCTGAATTCAGCACCGCTCGCTTAAAACCACTGGTTTTAAGCAAGGCAGGCATTTATGCTACATGAGATTATTCCGATGGGAGGCGTGAATTTAGCTCAGCTGCTGTTTGTTTTCATTTCGAAACTACCCTGTCCTATAGCATCGACGAACTGCTGCAACTGGATTCACATGGTTCCTTTTGGGATATCAAACCATAGAAAAGAGCTGTTCAGAGCACAGTTGTTCCTTCGCAGGATCCAAAGAACCACTAAAAGCGTTTGAGCTTCGAGAAAGGCCATGCACGGGTCTTGGCGCTCCACGCCCTGATGTTCTACCTGTACCACATGGGCATAGAGGTGGCATGGGCTTTGCTATGGCGAAGAGAGTTCCTGGGATGATCGTGCAAAAAGCTGCAAGACGCGTTCATGTCTGGCCTTCAAGATCCGCCGCTGTGAAGCTGAGAAGCACTGGATGGTTCTACGTCCACGTGGCCGAAATGGTGGCTGGACCACGGTCACCATTGAAGAGTATGGGCTTTACTGTTGCTTGACATTGGAAGAGGATTGACTTTAAAACTTCTCCATGATCCGTAGATGAATGCAGTTTGTCGACTGCCATGGATTAAGTTTGATAGTTTGAGACATGGTTTGGGAATCATCTGGAACTCCAAAAAATGTCTTCAGTAATGCTTGAATAATGTTGTCATCCAAGTGCGTCGAATTTCAACAAATGTAACATTGTACTTCCTCCTGTCTCTGTGCCTCTCAGGCATTCCAGCAGCAATTGAAGCGACACCTTGGATCCTTGGCAACATGGCCAACCAGCAGGGCTTGCACCGCTTCTGCGCCAGAGTGGTTTGGCAATCGCGGCAGTACCAAGACCAAGCCCTTGCTGGGGAGGCACTAGTGCCCATGGCGACGTGATCAGCTCAAAGTATCTACTCTCTGCCCAACAAAGGGATACGGGAAAACCAGGCCTGACTGACGTCCAACAACAACTCATGGTCCGCAGATGGATCCACGAGCACCAGATGCTGGAGATGCACAAGCAACTGAGCTGAACTTTTGCTGCGTTTGTTTGCAGATTTGAAGCTAGAACTGTCACAGTCCATCACAGTCCTAAGATTTCACATCATGATAACATACAGTATAGGCCATGTTAATGATGCTTTGGATCTGGTCCACGTACCGACCAGATAGTATGTGGATGTCCAAGTTTTACTGAATTGTCTCCCTGCCGCAAAATCACACAAGCGCCACGATTTGTGAGGCCAAGCGAGGACAACGGCACTTCCACATTCATCGAGAAGAAGGAGTACAGTGTTTCTCTTGCAAGGTTATCTTCCTCCGAGAGCCGGGAGAAAGCGCGAGTCGCACCCTGGTTGCTTTGGAGATGGGGCCAGTGAGGTATCTCTTTCTATCCCTTTCTTCCGGGTGAAATCGTCAGCTAGATTCCAGTCCAAGACATTTGTTTACAATGGGGTTTCCAGTCCAATCCCTGCCTTGCAAACGCAAATAGACAAAAAAATCGCCAACTATGATGAGTATAGCTTTTATATATATATATATCTATGTATGTATGTATGTATGTATGTATACTTAAAAGGGGGTTCCCACACACTGTCTGCCAACCACCGACCCCTGCAGATTGCGAAAGCATACAGTGCAGTGAGAGATTCTCTGAGCAAGGGACTTGGAGACAAACCACCTGTTCAAGAACAGCATCTTCTAGCCCTCGATCAAGCTTTCCTTGCAGGGGCTATGGACAGCCAACTGGAACGTGACGTCACCACGACGAAGGAAATATTGCGGCTTCCCCCAGTTTCCGCCATCTTCGACAGGATGCAGGCGGAGAAGCGCGCCCAGGAGCGTGAGGCATTGGCGAAAGCATGTGAGGAAGCAAGGAGCCTCATGCAGCTTGGTGTAGACTCAAGGAGGAAAGCTTGCGAAGCTTCTTCCAGGCAAAGATGAAGGTTTACTATCAGACAGTGATTGATGGGGTGGCCAGTGTGGTCAGGGAGGCAAGGGAACTTTTGATGGCCAGGAAAAAGGACAGTGACCAGAGCCTTGCCGACGTGGCCAACCGCCGGTTTGTGGTGGACCGGGTGCTTCCAAAAGCAGAGCGCCACTGGCATTGGCAAACATGCTTCTTCTTGGACCTCACATCGATTGGTGACGGACTTGAGGCTGTGGATATGTGCATCTCCTCATCGCCTTGCTGTCACCGGGGCTGGCTTGGTTGGCTGGCTGGCTGGCTGGCCTGCCTGCCTGCCTGCCTGCTTGCTTGCTGCCTTGCTCGGATGCTCAGTTGCTTGCTTGCTTCCTTGCCTGGCTTGCTTGCTGGCTGGCTGGCTTGCTTGCTTGCTACCTGCCTGGCTGGCTTGCTTGCTTACTTGCCTGCTGGCTTCATTGTGCGCCCCTAGGGAAGGCGGACGCGCCGTCCAACACAGGCACACGTGTGGGGAGAGAATGCGAGACAGGAGGAGTCAAGACTTTGGGAAGGCGGACAACAACACAGGCACCCATGTGGGGAGACAATGGGAGACAAGGGTTGACAAGACCTTGGGGAGGCGAACACACCATCCAACACGGGCACACATGTGGGGAGACAAGGGAAGACAAGACCTCGGGAAGGCGGACAGACCATCCAACAAAGGGAAACGAGAAGGGAGACAAGGGGAGACAAGGCCCCGGAAAGGCGGACACACCATCCAACAAAGGGAAACAAGAGGGAAGACAAGACCTCCGGAAGGCGGACACACCATCCAGCAAAAGAAAGCAAGAAGGGAGACAATGCGAGACAAGGGAAAACATTGGGAGGCAAAGGGAGAAAAGGCAAGACACAACTTTAAAAAAACGGGCACATCATCCAACACATGCAGACATGTGGGAGACAAGAGGAGACAAGAGCTCGGGAATGCGGACCAACACAGGCACACCTCGGGAAGGCGAACACACCATCCAACACAGGCACACATGTGGGGAGACAATGGGAGACAATGAGAGCAATGGGGGGCATTGGGAGACAATGTGAGGCAAGGGAAGACAAGAACTTGTGAAGGCAGACGCAACATCCAACACAGGCACACATATGCGGGGAGACAATGGGGAGACAAGACCTCGGGAAGGCGAACACATTCCAACACAGGAATACATGTGCCACAATGGGAGACAAGGGGAGACAAGGGGAGACAAGACTTCGGGAAGGCGACCACACCATCCAACACAGGCACACATGTGGGGAGACAAGGGGAGACAAGACCTCGGGAAGGCGGACACACCATCCAACATAGTCACCCATGTGTGGAGATAATGGAGACAAAGGGAGAGGGGGAGACAAGGGGAGACAAGACCTTGGGAAGGCGGGCGCACCATCCAACACAGGCACACATGTGTGGAGGCAGTGGGAGACAAGGGGAGGCAAGGGGAGACAAGACCTCGGGAAGGCGGACGCGCCATCCAACACAGGCAGACATATGTGGGGAGACAATGGGAGACAAGGGGAAACAAGACCTCGGGAAGGCGGACACACCATCCAACACCGAGGCGGACACCTTAAGAAAGCATTAAAAACCCGTAACAGTCCACTGTTTGGGCAAAAATGGCCACAACAACACAAAGAAAAACGGTCCCAATTCCGAATGGGCAGCAACTGCCTTTCAACTTTCCGGCCTGAAGAGGATGGCACCGCCAATTTGGCAGACGCAAATGCTGATGTCTTTGGGAATCAGTGGGTCGGTCCCAGCGAAGGTATTGTTTTTTTCCCGTGACTTTTGCGCCGTGCCTCCTTTTTGGGTTCCAGCAGTTTTGTAACATGTCTTGCTCTATAATATAAAAAATATATAAATAAATTTTGTGGAACCACATCCATTTATGAGTTCGTTTTGATCAAAACCAAACAATTGCAAAAAATCGATAGCGATGGATTTCAAACCATTCAATGCCTACATCGTGGATGCTTGCAGGACGACAATTTTGTTGTTTTCATTGGCACCTTGTGACGTGACGGGGTCGCATTGATATTACAGAAAATGTCACAAATGCAATGCAATTTTTGAATGTGTGGCAATTTGTTTTTGTTCTTCAGCTTGTTTTTGAGACGCAGGAAACAAACCATTGAATTCACCATACTGTACTGTAACAATGTTTTCTTCATTCCAATGCCAGGACTGCGGGTGGGAAGAAAAACGGGAAACTATCAGGCGCAACTGGGTCGATGGTTTTGAACTCGCAATACTGGAATCTTCTTGAACATTGAGAGGTGTTGGTGATGCCGTGTTCCAGAGATGTTTGCACAACATGTCCTCTGACCACTTTCCAACAAATTTTGCACGAAATGGTTGCAACGACTAAATAAGTATATAATCTCAGATCTCTATAAATTGATGCAACGTTAATCAGAGAATGCTCAGTGGGCAGCTGACTTTCTTCAGGTTACCATCCAGGTGAATTGGGGGCCGCTGTGTGCGATGCCCTGATCGAGCGCCAAAAAATCAACGGTGCGGAGGCGATTGATCCGTTGAGGGACTGACGACAACCATTGGTCAACTGGTTCAGGTCATTTTTTTTTGTTTCTTGCGTCCGTCCACTCATTTTTGGATCCATGAATGCAATCAACTGCTCTATACCCCATTAACAAACCTATGCTTGTCGTTCAAAGCAAATGCTGAGTATTGGATAACTTGGCAAAAGGTCACGCCATCACTATTTGTATTGCTGATTTGTAGACCAATTCAAAGAGTACCGAATCACACTGGTGTGACCGAATCGTTCCATGCATTTGTTGGACATGGGGCACTCAGTAGCTTACTTGATTTACGTGCTGCAGGTGGAAGATGTGGTCTTTGGTTGTCTTGGACAGGTTGGGGCGCAAGCCCAAGGCCCCAGAGCCAGGCATTGCAATCGGAAGTCACACTCGGCATTTTAGGCTCCGTCTTAGGTTTGTTTTTTTGTGTTCCCTGGTATCATTTGGATTCATTTGGTACACTTGGCAGTGTGATTTGAAAAGACATGATGCAATACCGGGCAAGGATTTTCGACGTTTCGATTGCGGTGCTATGGCTGCTAAGGCTGCCAATATAGCCCGCACTGTGGTGCTATCCTCCCGCCTTCTACCGGAAACTGTGAGAACGCTTGGACTTGGTGGTTTTGTGATACTTGGAAGGAACAACTTTTGATGTTAGGCTTTGTAAGAGAAACTGGCAACAAAGATCAACAAAGGGCATTTATTGAAGAACGACGATGCTTGAGGGCAGAAGCATCATTTAGAATCATTGTGAATTGCATGGTCAACTGGAATTGCTTTGGAACATCAGGTACTGAAATGCATCCGAACGCGTTTCGCCCAGGTCCCTGGCACATCTGTGGACCGGCAGGCCGGCTCCTCCCAACAGGCGCAGCACGTGCAGGGGATGACAGAGTGGCTGTTGGGCTCTTGCAATTGTTGAGAGCAGGTTCCAGAGCTGATCAGAAGTGCACTAAGTGCACATTGCTTTAAAGCAATGAATGTGAGGCTATTCATGCTGCAGCTCAAGCAGTGATGAGTGGCGTCCATGACTGCTGTACTCCGGCAGCAGACCTTTATGGGAGGATGTGTCATCAACTGATTCAGCTTCATGGAGTTCAGGATCAAGACAGCATATACCGTTTATCTGTTTGCGCATTTGATCTATATGTATCTAAATAATATAATATGATAGAATAGAATAGAATAGAATAGATTATATTATATTATATTATAATGATATTATTATGATATTATATTATATTATATTATATTATATTATATAATATAATAATATTATATTATATGATATTATAATATATTTTATTATATTATATTATATAATAATATTATATTATATTATATGATATTATATTATATTATATTATAATGATATTATTATGATATTATATTATATTATATCATATTATTATATTATATTATATAATTATTATTATATTATATTATATTATAGTATATTATATAATTATTATTATATTATATTATATAATATTATATAATATTATATTATATTATATTTATATTTATATTTATATTTATATTATATTATATTATATTATATTATTATGATATTATTATGATATTATATTATATTATATTATATTATAATGATATTATTATGATATTATATTATATTATATTATATCATATTATTATTATTATAATATGATATTATATTATACTATATTATTTTATATTACATTATAGTATATTTTATTATATATATATCATATTATATATATATTACCATCTATATGATATATATCATATATATCATATATATCATATATATATATCATATATATCATATATATCATATATATCATATATATCATATATATCATATATATCATATTATATATATTACCATCTATATCATATATATCATATATATCATATATATCATATATATATATCATATATATATCATATATATCATATATATCATATATATCATATATATCATATATATCATATATATCATATATATCATATATATATATATATATCATATATATATCATATATATCATATATATCATATATATCATATATATCATATATATCATATATATCATATATATATCATATATATCATATATATAATAATATAATATATATAATATATATAATATATTATATATATAATATATCTAATATATCTAATATATATATAATATATATAATATATATAATATATATTTACATATATTTATATATATAATATA